TACTTCCCGACTCCTGTTTCAGTGTCTCTGTGAACCTCTGTGAACCCACTTTCCATTGCCCACTACATAATTGGCGACGGGGATGGGATCGAACGAGAAAGGCGCTCTTCAAAAGGATTCCGATGACGAAAGTACTTCGACCAGATTACACTCGCGGCTCAACACGTGCACACCAGGTAGATACAGCCGACCGGCTCTCTACCCAACGCCACAGTTCAACATCGGTATTAACCTGCGTCTATGGAATGGAAAGGCGAACCGTCTCTTGGCCGGTTTCTCGGAATCGGAACACACCGTTCGTCATGGACCGATTGAGCCAAGAAGTTCAAGAGATTCTTGGCGCCGAACGAATCAACGACGACTCGAACATAGCAGACGTATGGGAAGCGCTGGAGGAAATCTCCGCCAAGGCGCACGATATAGTCACGCTCAAGCGCACATTTTGGAGCCGGGTGCAGAGTACCAATGAACCCGCCGACAGTTACGCCGCTGCGGTTCGACTCCTTACCGCCAGGGCGTTTCGCGAGTACCCAGGCACCTGGTCGATGCATTACTCCAAGCAACGTAAGAAGAGGTCCGTGCAGCAGCGAATGTGACTCGTGACCGACCAGAGACCCAACCTAGGAGAGAACTATCAAACCGATGGCCACGAAGGCCAATGCCGACTCGGCACTTTTTCCATCCAGGTAATCAGATCGCCCGAGTACCCCGATCCGGCCAGTCAGAGACCGTGGCAAGTAAGTCTACGACCTCACATTCGTTTGTACCTTTGGCATGTGTGTCCGATACTACTAATTAATCTCCGTTAATACCTAAGGTGTCTGGGGAAGGGGGAGGCGGTGCGTGCTCTAGTTGACACAGGGGCCACATGTAGCTTGATCACACCACGGCTTTGTAAATCGCGTCCGAATATGGGTCCTAACTGCCAGGTTCGGACAGTGAATGGCACCTACCTTCCGACCTTGGGTACGATGGACGTGACTGTACATTTATCTGGTTTTAAGGTGACGCATCCTATGCTGGTGGCAGGTGGAATGCTCTGGGATATGATTGCGGGGATCTATTTTCTATGCGCTCAGGAATACTGCCTAGATTTGAGACGGAGCAAGCTAACTTTTGGGACGCATGAATTATCTCTGGGTACTAGAGAAATCTGTTCTTTCGAAAGGACGAAGGATTCGCGCCCAGTAGATCTACCTGGACAGGTGTCACGGCCGGTGGGAAATTCTATTGTAGGATTAAACCTAACACAGACGAAAAACCTGGAGTCCGTCGTTTACAAGAATACACAAGCTTTTGCATGGCATGGAGTGCCACTAGATAGGACCCGGGTCGTAAAACACCGAATCGACACACAAGGTGAATCTCCAATCCCACAACATCCTCGTCGGTTGCCTGTACAACATCGGAGAGAGCTGGCAAATACTGTTGAGTCCATGTTGCCGGAAGGGGTGATACAAAAGTCACAATCCCCTTGGTCGTCGCCCATAGTCTTGATGAAGAAAAAGTCCGGAGCGCTACGCCTGTGCGTCGACTATCGGAAACTAAATCAAGTGACCCAGGAAGACAGTTCTCCGTTACCCAGAACCCAAGATACATTGGAGGCTTTAGGAGGAGCTAAGTACTTCAGCACCCTCGCTTTGGCTTCCGGTGCATCCAGATGATCGTGAGAAGACAGCATTTTGCATACCATCGGGAATATACAAATTCCAGATTATACCTTTCGGATTAGCGAACGCCCCCGCCACATTCCCAAGGCTTATGGGAAAGGTGTTACATCAACTAGTTCCCGCTAAATGTCTGGTTTACCTGTATGACGTTAACGACCATGGTCGAAAGATAGAGGAACACCTTGACAACCTAAATCAAGTTTTGACTGTGATCGCGGTCGCAGACCTCCGTCTAAAACCAGATAAATGCAGCATCCTACAACGAGAGGTTAAATATCTGGGGCACGTCATCAGCGAAGGTGTTCGAAGCGATCCATGAAAAGGTGGCCACCATCCAAGCCTGGCCAGTGCCCTCCTCGCCAACGGAGATTCGGCAGTTTCTCGGCCTGACGTCATACTATCAACGGTTCACCGAGAGATAGACAACTGTCGCCGCCCCTCTTGATCGATTAACGGAGAAGAATCGAAAATTACTATGAACCACCGAATGTGGAGCCGCTTTTGAACAGCTACGGCACCATTTGATAACAGCTCCAACTTTGTGCTTCCCAGACCTGGCCGAAGACGCCCCTCCTTTTGTCCTGGACACTGATGTGAGCGACACTGGGATTGGCGCAACCCTGTCGCAACAGACAGCAGATGGACAGGAACGAGTGATTGCTTACGCCAGTCGCTGTCTTAACAAGCGACTATTGTGTCACGCCTAAAGAGATGCTGGCCTTGGTGACATTCATTAAGCAGTTTAAACACTACCTACTAGGCAAGCGTTTCGTCGTTCGCACCGACTATCAATCAGTGGTGTGGCTGCAAAACTTCAAGCAGCCCGAAGGTCAGGTGGCGCGCTGGCAGGAACAACTCCAGGCGTACGAGTTCGAATGCCAACATCGACCCGGCCGACACCATAGGAATGCGGATGCTCTCTCTCGGCGTCAGTACCGCCATGGCGAGTGTCCTACGTGTGTCGCCGCGACGGTTACTCTCGAGGCACCTGAAACAGCACAATGGGTNCAACATCGACCCGGCCGACACCATAGGAATGCGGATGCTCTCTCTCGGCGTCAGTACCGCCATGGCGAGTGTCCTATGTGTGTCACCGCCACGGTTTCTCTGCAGACACCAGAAACAGCGCAATGGGTCGAGATAGAGCGAAGCGATTCAGACACAAGGTTAATTTACGAACGCCTCAACGCGGGGGGTCAAAAGCCCACCAAGGCAGAGATGTCCGGCTCCAGCTGGAAGATCCATTGACTTTGGTCCACCTGGCACCGTCTGCGGATTGAGAATGGAATCCTATATTACCAATACGCAGAACACTACATTCCCCGTTTGATGGTTCCCCAGACGAAGGTATCTCAAGTTCTTCAGACGCTAAACGAAGAACTCGGATATGCGGGGCAACACAAAATGGACCATGCATTATCTCATTGGTTCTGGTGGCCACACCAACTGCGAGACCTAATAAATTTCTGCAATCGTTGCGAAGGCTGCCTCCAAGTAAAACCACCCCGAGCCTACAACCGAGCAGCATTGCAGCCAATTCAGTTTGGGTTTCCTGGCCAGATGATAGGAGTTGACGTTGTTGGGCGACTCCCGGCTACACACCGGGGAAACCGCTGCATATTGGTCATCGTCGATTACTTCTCAAAGTGGTGTGAAGCCGTCTCGTTGACATCCATAGATGTTGTCTCCATCGCACAGGCCATTTTTAAACAATGGGTATCATGTTGGGGGGGGCGTTACAGCTGCATTCCGACCGAGGATCCAGTTTCAAAAATCAAGTGGTCGCAGAAATCTGCCAGCTATGTAGAATCTACAAGTCCAGAACCAGGGCGTACCACCCCCAGGGCAATGGGCACACCGAGCGTACCAACTAAAAGAGTTACTGAAGGCTTTTACTAACGAATGCTCCACGAGAGGCTGGGACTGAGCGTTGCACCATTGTCTACTCGCTTACCGAGCTACAGTCCACATCTCCATTCAGCACACTCCGCACGCAATGCTCACCGGTCGAGAACTCCGGCTGCCGACATATCTAACTCTCCCTGTGATGCCTCCAGACCCGCTACTTGCAACGGAGTTCGCCTGGAAGCTGCGGCATCATCTCGGGCGGGCACACGAATTGACACGGAAACATCTGGCAAGTGCCCATCGTTCTCAGGAGGAATGTTACGATCACAAAGTTTCCGGACATCCAGTGCAGCCGGGAGAATCAGTGTTCCTTCATCAACCCATTCCTCCAACAGGCCGACGAACAAAACTACATAAAGAATGGGCGGGGTCGTACGTGGTACAAGAGGTTCTCTCAGAAACCATCTGCCGGTTAGTGCCATCCGATTGATCCAACATACCTCCGATGACGGTGCATTTTAACAGATTGAAACCAGCAATTAGGGCGTCGGATAGTACCCGCTTACTACGAGACAACCTGTCTGTACCAGAAGTAGGTGCCGAGAAGGAAGTTACGACAGCCGACCAGGAAGAAGGCCTTGAAAGTGCTATGGACAGCACTTGTCTACCCGGAGGAGGGGATGATGTACTGGCGATAGTACGCTAGTGTCCGAATGATGTGTAACTTATCCCATTCCACGTATGTAACTTTATATCCTCTCGTATACTCCTTTTCCAGATGTCAATCTCGCAACTACCGAGGTTCCAGGAGCAGAAATTCACATACCAAACCACTCAGAACATGCACATGACCATACTGATTCCCCCTTGTAATATATATGACCCCAAGTGATTCACTTCCCAATATACACGCTGCTCCTCGGTGTACGTCTTCTTCCTTGTGTGTGTCCGCGGTACAGCTGGTGATCGTTGCCGTCTGTTGAGTCCACCTAAGAAGTCTACTTCCCGACTCCTGTTTCAGTGTCTCTGTGAACCTCTGTGAACCCACTTTCCATTGCCAACTACAATAGAGCCAAACAGTCGCTCACGTTCTCTGATCACACAAAATTGAAATACGCCAGGCATCGAATCAACAGATAAAGAATAATGTATGGTGTTTGTGATTGGGAAATGTCAATAGAGAAGCAACACACAGAAAGAGTTATGTCACCATAAATCATCATGAGTTTGGAAGGATTTTCAAAAATTCAACATGAGATACAACAGGTGCTCCACATCAGTTGAGGCCTCGGTAATCACTAGATCGAGTAGGTCTGAAATGTGCTCCGTGCACCATCTAGTGTTCTGGTCTACATGTTGCACCAGAGCTTTGTTGTGGAGGACATTCAATAACGCTTGACCAAACGATCCCTGCAGAGCACTTTCGTCCTCCCCGTGGATCTGCGGAGCCTTGGACTACACAATGAACGGGATTTTGTCCGCTTGGGTTGTCGTTTTGCAAAGTAAGACTACCAGCTCTTCACCCTATTGTATTGTTGCTTGTGGGCTGTGGTAGACTTCCAGCAGTGCCACTTATCCTATGTTTGCAGCTGATCACTTGTAGATGGGGTATGGTTAATGTCTCCCCCGGTTCTTGGTGATAATGTTGGGTCACCAATATTACAGAAACTCCCCCTGTCTCCCATGTTCCTTATTGTCTCGGCATGCACAGAAGTCACGTAGACGGAGTAAGTCAATTACTACAATTTGGCGGGGCCATGTCTCGGTGACAACTAGTATATCCACGTGGCTCGTATCCGTCCTTTATTCTGGACACTTGCCTACACAAAACGGAGCCTTTATCTCCTCCCTACTCACCGGCCTTTAGTGAATATTAGGACCTCGGACCCTAGATCAGTTCAGTTCGGCGCCCAGGACGGTAACAGCAACTTGCCAGGTCAGGACAGGATAAGACAGGACAGAACAGGTAGCAGGACTTGTGGCGGAGCCATAACCAATCTAGTTTCTTGCACCAATGAGCTGGGGAAAACCTGGGCCCTGTGACACTTATGTTATTTCGTTCACGTAAACATGAGTGAGTGCAGTTCTGGAAAAGGAAAGTGCACTTCTGATGATTCCTCGGAGTGGCGGTACACATCTGAGGTTTTGTCAGGATCTAAGCAACAGCTCGAAACCCACCGCTTCGAGCTATCCAGAGTAATAGATGTGTTGTGAAGGAGAAACATTATCTAAACGTAGTGATGCTGGATGTTGAGAAATTTCAGTAAATATTGTGATGAACAGTGAATGAAAATGGATTTGTGGGAGTTGGAGAAATCAAAGCGAAGTATCTTAGGATAGAAGAGCTTAATATGAAGAGGAAGATTGAGACAGATAAGCTGTTAGCGACCTGAGGCCCGGTCTCAGATAGAATCGGGAAACGCTGATACTCAGGATGCGTCAAGCGTCAGCTTGAACTCGGCAAAGGTTTTTGAAGCCCCTACCTACTGAGGCAGTTTGTACCATATATTTACTACCCTGTGAGAGAAAAAGGCGGCTCTCAGGCGTTTGAATGCCCGAGCCTTGTCTAACTTCATGCTGTGCACCCTTCTGTTAGGGACGTCGTTCCGCTGGAGTTAGTGGGAGATTCCATGAGAGAAACCAGTCAAGATTTGGAAAGTTTCAATTAGGTTCCTCCTCAGCCTCCTCCGATTAAGTGAGAACAGGGTCCCTGGACGTCACTGTGCGCTTCAACCTGAACAAGACCTTATTGGCCGTACCTGCCGCAGGAAGACACTGAGCAGGGGAGTTAAAAGCGGAGTTCATGGTGACCCCTAGGTCACTGACCTCTGGCACAACTGCCATAGCCTCCCCGTCGCGAGTTCCCATGAAGCGTGGCCCAAAACCCTGAGCACTCCCGGCTCGCAGTACCTCACACGTTGCTGCAATCAAAGGGAGACCGCACTCTGCAGACCATGCTTGCACTGCAGCTCCATCGACCTGGAGGTATACACCCTGACGCGAGCCTAGGAGTTTGATTTTATCCGCAAAGACGAACGACGGATTTGACAGACGGGGAATTAGGTCATTGAGGAAGAGCAGAAACAGCAATGATCAGAGGATCGAGCCTTATGGGACTCCCTTTATGCATGCCTGCAGTCCAGTTTCTTGTACTGGTGAGTTTCAAGGATCTTGTAGCGGTTTTCAACCGACAGTTTTGCAACGGCAATTTTCTTTTCCTGCTTCTTGCTTTTCTCTAAGTTTCCTGGTAGATTTATTCAAGCTGGACGTGATCATCAAATCACGGACCAGACGCACGTTCTCCCTACGCTGGTTTGACTAGCGGTAGGACAGGTTCACTTTCCAACCAGCCCTGTGCAATTGAGGACTATCAAGACATGGTTACATAATCAAGGAATACTTATGAGAATCATTAATTTTCAGATATTAAGTAGCAACTTAATCCCTCGATCAGGTATAAATACTACAAAAGCAAGGCTACAGTCATGCCTTTTCTTCTTTCTTAAGAAAACCTTCTCCATGGGGCACAATCAAGTGTACTGTCCAGATTAAGCAGGTATCGCCATTAGTTGGCGATAGTGATCTTTCAGGGAAAGTTTCTCTATAAGATATAGCAACTTGGACATTTCCGGTGTTACGTTTTGCTTTAACTATTTTTGTGATTTTATTGAGCTGGAAAATACTGCACCAACGATTCATCGCGGTGAGCTCTGTCTCGCACGCCTTCCTTGCATTGATTATATCTATTTTCAGGTTTCCGCTGCCGTTGCTAAAATAGCAGCCTATGCATAGACGAACTTACTTCCAACATTTCGGAGGTTTCGGAATATACCGTTTCTATAATCCTAATTCTTAGTTCTGTTTCCTCTTGGGACGAATTTCCAGAATGAACCTAAGCAAACATCAGTGACAGGTTTTGACGAACATCAGCAACCGCCTGGTCAATAAATTGATGAGCCCGCATAGAACTTCACTCCATTTTGGAAATCATCAGACTTTGGAAAGTCCATTCCATATCTTTGGAATTTTTGAACCATTTTCTATTCACTTAAAAAATTTTAGCGTTTTTGTTATTTTCACTTTACCACTATCGCTATTTCACTTCCATATTTTTTCGATAGCGTCATTTGGGAGTATATTGTCTATACAGTGCTTTTTGTTATGGGTTCGTTAGATTTACCTAAAGAGCCTTCTCTCATGGTGGCTGCCACTTTCCAACCTCCCCTCTTTGGGCATCTAACCCTAGGACGTGGATCCCAGTCCGCGAATCACAGTGTGCAACTGGGAACATCAAGTCGTCAAGGACAAAGTTCCATCATGTCGTCTCTTCGTTGCCAGAACACCTGGTAGCAGATGTTTGGGATGCAGTTTTAGAACCTCCTGAAGATGGGCCTTTCGAAACCTTATGAGACGCTACACTAGAACGCACAGGAAGCTCTAAGAAAGAGCGTATTCGACACTTTCTTCAAGACAGCGTTGGGAAATCGTAAACCTTCACAGCTTTGGAGGTTCATGTGCAACGAGAAGGGCAACATCTCACACGGCGATGCATTTGATAGGGAACTGTGGTTACAGAAGATACCACAGGATGTTCAGTTCCTTCTTGCGTCAGCGCAAGATATGCTTATCGAGCGTTTGACGGTGATGGCAGATCATGTCATGCAGTACCGTCAACGCGCGGTCGCCGCGGTCACCACCTTCGTCACCCCAACCACATCTACCTGTTTCAGGCCTTTATTGAGAAACGAAAGGATTTCAGCATAGAAAGAAGGTCTAGGGGCGTATGATTCAGTGGAAAACAGCAATCGAGCAGTCGCCGGAGATCTAAGTCACCCAACATCAGTCAAAAGTATTGTTGGCACCACGCACGTTTCGGTAAAGATGCTGCCAAACGCATCCATCCGTGCTCTTGGAAAGGA